GACGGGTACATTGCGCCGCAGTGCCATGAAGGCCTCGCCGTTCCGTGGTAAGGGCTGTCCAGACATCAACTCGTACAGCGACATCCCTAAGGAAAACATGTCCCCTGCTTTGAAAAAACGTTTTTGATTGAGCATATCAGAACAAAGGTAGCGACAGTCCCCCTCATCAACGCTTGCCACACTTAGCTGAGTATTCTCCATGAATGCAAAATCGGCATTGGTTCGGCCAGGGCTAACACCATTGATATTAGAGAGGCCATCCCTTAATGCGAATTTTGCAGTCACACCAGCACCGTTACTGTTTGCACCAGCAGCTGTAGAATGTATCTCATTAACACGCCGAGGGCGTCCTGCTTTATCCAAGAAAACGCTGCAACCAAAGTCAGAGAGCTTGTACGCTCCATATGCATCCACAAGCACATTGTCCGGCTTAAAGTCAACGTGCGCGATGTCAGCACGATGTAGCGCATCAAGGGCAATTGCCATGTGAAGCAAAAACACTAGGACTTCACTCTCCTCCCAGGACTCATGCCCAGCACGCTTTTTTTCTGCAATAGCGGCCACAGAACCGCCAGAGCAGTACTCAAGTTGAAGGTACATCTGCGGTATGCGTCCCTCTTCCCAGGCGGCGCCGAGTTGAACAATGTGGGGCATGCCACGCACCTGCTCCATTATCATCCTCTCCCGGCGATAGCGCTGCCTTTGACCGCTTCTACCGTTTAAGGGTAGGAACACCTTAATAGCAACGTGCTTCCCCGTGCTGATCTCCTCGTATAGAGCGACCCTGCCAAAGGAACCGTGGCCCAACTCCTGAAGCTCGGAGTAGTCGGTCAGAATACCCCGCGACAGCAAATTCGAGCACTCGGCATCGATCTGCGAGTTGCTTTCCCAAATTTCTGCCGAGGGACGTACCAACATCTGACTAAAGTTGCTACCCGCATGGAACGCATCAATTCGCTGCGAAAGGACCGTCGGGGTGGTATAACCTGGTGGAGAAGCGGGCCCTGGCATTGCAAGCCCTTGCGAAGATTGAGAAAAGAGTGTGAAATTAAGATGCCGATTCGCAGATGGAACCAAAGGAATCTGCTGTGTCGCATAAGGTGACCCTACCGCTGTCTCATCGATTTCCAGCGCGCTGAACTGGGAGAGCACATCCGCAGAACGCTTGCGGCTGATTTCGTTGCGAAGATACTTGTTTGCGCTGTCGCAGCCCGCTGTATTCAGACCTACAAATAGCTGCTGCTGCCCATATTCCTTGTCCATACTGCTTGCACAGCTGTTTCGCCTCGCTGGATTCGAAGGCCGCGCCCAGGATATCCTTGTCAAGGTAGAAGCCAGCCGCGTTTCACCTTTCCTCAGGTGCATGGTGCGACGCTGTTTGGTGGGTGTCGGTGGAATCGCGAACAGCGGGGACTCACCATGCGTGTCGGGGATATTGCGCTTCTGTGAGTCGCTTTTTTCCGCAAGTGGATTATCTGCGGAACTATTTCCAGCTCCCTGTGGAAAAGCGAAAGTATGTATGCATTGCGACATTGGACTACCATTGTTCTTTGTTTGATACCAACCAGTAGAATCTATATGATGGGTTTTGCCTGTTGTGTTGATTTCATTGCTGCCGTCACTATCCAGAAGAGATATAGGATCTGGATTAGTACTACGACTGTCGAGAGGGTCCCTTTTGGTCAAGAAATCCGACCCCATAGCTGGTGCAGTGAAGGGGTTGCACCCAGTAGCACAATCTTCTTGATGATGATCCTGAGTCCTACCCAGTTTCAATGGCCCTTGATTTGCTAATGGCATCATTATACGCAAAATGTCCGAATAGCAATAACTAATTCAGAGAGAAAAACTAGAATAACTACTACAGTAAAATTATCCCAAAAATGGGAATATAATCTGGCACTAAGCCAATTCTATGAAAAAACGAAAGCTTCGAAGAAAAAAATGGTTATGTATATGTGTGTATATTACTATAAAAATGAAGTGAACCTTTCTTATAAAAATTTACATGCAATAGCTATACATAACTTGGAATGGAAAATGATGCGATAAATTAATGTTTTGATAGTATTTGCTCTCATAAACATAACGAACTACAAATCAGTTATTTAGATCAGAAAAGTAAATCTGATTTCTGATAATATGTACTTTAGGATCTTCAGTAGTTATGGTACTCAACAAATACGTATATTAAAGTAAGTTCTACCTCAGAAATCTGCGGTGTATTCTCACTTGTCTACTTAGACTCATTCTTTTTAACGACGCGAAGCTTTTCACTACCTAAACTAACCAGCATAACAAATCCAACGGTGTAGTTATTCGTTACGCGAAAGCATTGAGCACCAGTAAGTCCACAGGTTTGTGCCTATTCGCAAGTCTTATAAAGATTTTGGGAAATCCTGTTATTCTCCTTGTTGCATTTATTACTTCTTGAGATCTTGGCGCGCCTGCTGCTGCATATATTCTAGTCTCGCTTTCTCATACATTTCTCTCTGATGTTGCTCATATAGGCTAGTGAAATGCAAAAAATTCTTTTTGGCGAATGCAGCGTAAAGGAATGCAAATTCTTCTACACAATTTCGCTCTTCTTCCGTAAGATCAAAGCCTTCATTCTTGCCTTTCGAAGTGGGAACCACACATTTTTGAAAGGCTCGATGGACTATACGATGATTGGCCTTCTGATTGTTAAGAAACTGCTCAGCGGTGATAGTGTCTCGTACTAAACCTATTGAACCCTGACCCATCGAATCGGTCTTTTTGTATTGAGATAGAATTCAATAACCTAAAACAATGAAGTATAAAGATTAAATTATAAATAATACGAGTAACTTTGTGTAATTCACCTTTGTATCAACTTACTTTCCACAATAGGAATGTAATGTGAAGAGTGGGTTCGTCCTTCTCACCTGCTTCAAGCTTTAACATACCGTCAAAACAAAAATTAGTACGAATAATGGTAATAATAATGGTTAACAAAAGAACCCCTGAGTGTCAATTAGGGCCTGTAAATTCAATGCGACATAACTACGTGGAAAAGTAACATAGAAAGTAACTCTATTCCTTATTTGTAAACCTCATAATTTACACAATATACTCTAATTCGAGAAATGCTTCATAAATGGCCTTGCTGTTGTGCATGTTATGGCACCGCACTTGTACAATGGCGCCCTCAGGCAAAAAAATGTAATCGGACAAAGTGCTCGTAGCAAACTGATCAGGCTCACAGCATTGTCTGACAAATTTTTCGAAAGATAACCGCTGTTGAGCGCTTAAGGAACTTGCCTGACGTCTGGAAGGAACTGTTGACCGGCGTGCTCCCGTGGACGTCTTAGTGACTGTGGTGTTTGCATGGAGCAGAACGCAGCTGTTGCTGGCCCCAAGACTAACGACGCAACGGTGATTGACATAAAGAACAAGCACTTCATTATTAATACTCTCTCCAGCAGTACCAACACCACCGCTAAAGGAGGAGCTGGAGTGAGTATCTCGGAGCAAACAGGTTGTGTACTTGTAAATGCCGGCCTGTGCGATACGAATGCTTCTCGGACGCACCCAGTCAAAGCAATTCAATTCCTTCATTCTTTCAGCTCTTACAGGTGACTCTTCTACCGTTTCCTTCCTTACCCATTGATCATTACAAAGGGTTCTATGAAAGCTAACGTGTTGTGTAGTATTATCATACCGGTCAACAAGAGGGCGAAACGCGGAAATGGCAGGGTCCTTCCTTCGGAAGCCATTCGAAAAGACAGCCTCAGTATCATGATGAATAGAAGATTGGGCGATATACCAACTCGCCGTCGTCGGATCATAGAATTGCACTTCTCCCCATGGAATTGGCCTACTAATTGACTGGCCGCCAGCGCTGTTGCTGCGCGTCAAAGCCTCACTAAAGTGACTATTCCCGCCTCCCATCCAGAACCAGCGCGCGGATTGTCGTGGAAAAGGCAATTTTCTGCATTCACCTGATGACGCACAACATTGGTTATCATACACCCTTCGTAACGAAGCGTCTTTATTGGAGCACCCAGACCGTTCCTCTTGCTGCTCTAGTCTGTAGTTTTCCCATTGCTTGCGCAGTAAGTGGATCTCTTGTGCAAGACTTTCAGGCAGTTTATTTAAACTGTGCGCTTGAGCTTCCCCCACAGTCTCTGTAGCTTGTGTCCCAGTTAAAGTCTTCGAGCCATTAGAAAGCGAATGATGGTATTTCCGTTTTATATTTTTGATGTCACGTTGAAGCCACTGCACCTCACGCTGGAGCTGGCGGCGAGATCTCCTCTCCTCCTCCAGTGTAAGTTGCAGCCTCTGGGTGAGCTTCTCCAGGGCCATCACAGCTTCGTTTTGCATGGTATGGTCCAACTGGTAGCGCTCCTCTTTTAAATGTCTATCATTGATGAGAATCCTTACCGTTTGATTCATCTCTTCGAGTTTATCATCAACCTTGCACAGACGCTTCTCGTGGTTCTGCATGAGTTCCACTAGACTATTGAACCCTTGAAGGACACAAGGTTGGACATTGAGCCAATTCTTACTAGTGCCGCCAAGTGTGGCTTTAATACCGTGCTGAATCCTGTCAATACGTTGGAGCAGTGACGAGGAAACTCTAGGAGGATCGCTCGGTGAATGGTCTAAGAAGGTGTCCTTCAGCTGAGTCTCGGAAGAGTCGCTTGAATGCATATTCGTCATCATGCTATTGGAAATGAACCAGAGCACAAAAATGTTCCCTATCCGTTTATGGTCCTATTGATTGAGGCGGTAACTGATATTCGCACACGATTGGTAGACAAGTTCGCATGCAAATACCTGTGAAAATGAATCTTTAATGGTATTTTTCAACTTCTCCAAAGTAGGCAACTAATACAATATGCATATGCACCCTAGTTACTTTTAGACTCATGCATATTTAAATAAAAAGATTCCACGAGAATAAATTAGTCATTGCGTAGCTGTCAGATCATTTCAAATTGGAAATATGTGATCGATTGCATTTATTCTATAGAGATTCCTATCCATAGCTATACACTACCTGCATACTTGTGCGTTCAATACTAGTTATAATCTCAAAAAGTGCACTTTATTCCTTCCTCACGATAAAAGGAATAACAAAAAAAAGATAAAGAGCGGCACACAGTATTCCCAATCGCCCCGTTACTCTAGAATGTACGAGAAATAGCTTCTGTTAGGGCTGATGAATCGATTTCAGTAGTCCATTCAGTGTAGGTCTCATCTAAAACCCGTCGCAGCTTCTGCTCCGAACGCTTCTCCTGAATGAAATGGATTAAAGGGAGCTTGTTATATACAAACGAAGGCATAAATATATCCACCCACAGCACAGGGAACCAAAAGAAAAAACAATACCACCAGCAACAGGTCCAAGAGGCCAGATACCAGACACTCATCGGCTCCAAATGTCGTCGCGCCTCAACGACGGCGCTTGGGTTAGGTTTCGCGAGCGCCTTGCCTATCCGATTACCACGGAGGGGACTACAGGCAAGCCTTCGCATCATAGTAAGATGAACTTTCGCCTGTTAATGCCAACTACAGGTAAAAAAGTGCACACACGCGTGCGAAGGAATGTAGAGGATCCTGGAGCAATAATGCAGCTTGTACTAATAGATGATATGGTTGGACTGATAAATTCCTTTTACGTTGAGACTTTTCTCTAAACCTTGCTAGAAAAAGAATGAGAGCAAAGGCATAGCTGGTGTTGGACTCTTTCCGTTTCTTACCCTCAGAGTCGCGCGTCCTTCCAAAGATACCATGACTTGACTATGCGAAAACATTATGGACTATGTTTCAGCAACACATGACGAAAGGGTTAGAAGTCTAGGGACCACCAAATCGCACAGACTTTGAGTGTACAATTGGTAAATATTGTCAAGTCACCTTTTTGGAACAGCCAAAAAGGCAATAGTAAGGAGATTTTTTGAAAATCATATAGGTTTGTTTAGACGTTGTTCTTGAGGAATAGGAAGAAGTAATATCACAGAGAACAGTATGATTGCACTCTAAAAGATGTATTTTTGTTGGGTAAGCTACCAGAAAAAATAATATCTTGTGAGCCAATAAGTCTGTGGATGTATGTGGTTTTCCATCTAATTTATATTCCTGACAAGTTGGTGCATCCCCTTCTCACCGTTCAAAACTGTGACTCGTTGCAAATTGCAGCCCTTACGTATTCATCGAAGTGGTTTGAAAATTATCACATCGCAAGATGCCTTGTCCGTCCTTCGATCCTCCCCGAACACTAAGGAGTGCATCTTCCATACACCCCTCACCTCCTGGCCAATAGCTTTGGTATGCGTAAGACAATTGATATTAAACCTCTAGACGTTGTCCCCGGAGTAAGACGCCTCTTTGTGTCGTTCGACAAACACCCAGAGTTGCAAGGTGCCTCAAATTGCGGAGAACTTGAAATTTGTCCCATCGCACAACGGTAAAAACGTTTATATGAGAACCAACAGGCATTATTGTGACGAATTCCACATTAATTACCTATATATTAATGTTGGCTCCCACACGCACTCAAAAAAAAATGTCACTGCATATGAGCCTTGCAATGCTAATATCACCAAATATTCCGCACAAACAAAATTAACCAACTCCAAGTCCCTTATCGTCGTTGTAAATCGTTCCGTAAAGACATAGTTTTTCCCTCTCACTTTAATATAGCGGGATAAAAAAACGATCCTCGACTAAAGGTCACTCCCATAAGTACGTCTTATAAGATGAAAATCATCTATTTTTTTTAGCTGAAAAGGAATAACCTCCATACCTTGAAAAGCGTTGTGTTTTAATGAACAAAAGCGAAGAATTACGGCAAAATCATCAATCACGTACAGCGTTTAGCCTGTAGTATGAATTACTGAAGCGGTTTACTCGTGTTGAGTGTGTAACATCATTCCAGTCAAACCACAATAAGTATACTTTAGTGCGCTCGGCTACATGAATCACTAGAGCTAAGGCTTATGTGTGGTGTCATGCCCTGATATATAAAATTCCTCTTGGTCAACATGAAATATACAATCAACACAATAAACCTGGTTCACTGTCAATTTTTAGTCCTTCAAAATAATAATATTTCAAAACTTATCGGCAACAATTACTTACAGTAAATATTCAAGTACAGAGCTAGGGGAACGTCTCACGCAGCAAATTAGGTAGATCATATAATTTGTCTATATCCTATATATCCTTAAACATATGGAGGAAAGCCTATATTTGTTTTTGGTCAATTGAGCATGTTTTTTTGTAATCACCAATTAATAAAATTATTGGATATCGTAGAAACTTTCATAGATAATACTTTCAAAGATATCACTCAGGATATTTGGTAATGAATCAAATATACTATATATATCTTGATATATATAGTAAATAGACCGAAGCATTTATGTCTTTCATATGGTTTCATCAAATGAAAACCTAACCCTAGAGTGATGAAATCTTAAATAATGAAGCGGCGTGATGACAGAAAGAGTAA